CTGCCGTGGGAGGGAGGTTGCTCAGCTGGGCTTGTTGCCTTTCTTCATCCTCTTTCCCCAGCATCCCTTGGACAAGCTACATGTGTACGTGTATACTTAAAGCTGATAAAATTGTAACTTACATTACTGCACTGCTGTTCAGCGTCCATCCCCAATGACCCCTAACACCTTCTGAAACTTTATATCTTGTGAAGACAGGTCCATAAAGTGATGTTAAATCTTAAATGAGGTACTTGAGAGCCAACTGGCTAGCTCAGCTTTGGCAACACTTAACATTGTGAAGGTAGTACCTGCTGAAGTGCTCTATGTAATAAACTATTTGCCCGAGCAAATTTAAACCCACCAGTCGCTTCCTCTGCAGCAGCCCACATGTGCTGCAGAGCAGAGACAGGGTAGGGGCTTAGGTGGCTCGGTGCCTGCAACCCCCCAGGTGGGCAGTTCGTCTCTTCCTCAGATGCATTCCCACAGCGCAGAGGTTTCTGCACACTGAGCTTTGCCAGGGGAATCTGCTTCATAGGCTTGAGGAGGTCTTGTTTATTTTTTTTCCCCCAAAGGGAAATTAGTTGCCAAAGTAACATGGACAAAGAGAAGTGTTTTAGATGGGATATTACAGCTTCATATTTTGATTCATATTATGCTTGTTTATAGGACTTTTTTATTATTTTGAAGCACAGGAAGAATGTGTAATACATTGTGATTATTTATCATAGCTGTAAGAAGAGGGTCTGGTGGTGATGGATGTCTCAAAACCTTGCTGTGCAGAGCCCTTACCTGAAAGAGGACAGAGGGGGCTCTGGACAAGATCTGTCCCCTCTGCCGTGCAGCATTGTGTTTAGCAGCTGTGTTCCCTGTCTGGGGTCTTGTGGTCTGCCAGGAGGAACTGGGACAAGCACTGCTGAAATTTCTAATGTCGCTGTTGAGACTTGGCAGTAAAGAGCCCCCGAGACAGTTCACGGATGCTCGCACCATGTGCCTGTGCTGTTAAATTCACGGCTTGAGCAGGGATTTAGCACAGGCCGGGGAACATTTCCAGCAGGGCGGGATGTGCGAGGTCCTGTCATGCTGGCATCCTTTCCTCCAGCCTGCCCCGTGCTCCTGCTTAATCCCCTCCCTTCCCCTCCTTGTCGCAGATTTTGACAAGTCGTGGTGCCACCCCACAAAATCTCCCAGTCCTGGGGGCTGCAGAAACTGGAGAGAAGCTGTGGAAGAGGGGAAGGATGGAGGAGGGCAAAGATCACAGCCTGCAGGAGACTCGCGAAGCTGGGGTAGTCCTGCCAGTGCCCGGGTCAGCACAAAAACTTTGGACGGTACGAGAAGCTGGGATGAAAGCCAATGCCGTCCTGCAGCCTGGGTCAGCCACCCTGCCAGGCTGCACTGGAGATCTGGCATGGAGTCCTGCACACCCAGGAGCCCTGGGCCCCAGAGGAGCAGCCTGGCCCAGAGGAAGGCAGAGCAAGGCTGGGCAGGGTCCTTTGCATGCTGTGGCTTTTGGAGCCGGCCGGCCGGGTGGCACACGCAGACAGAGGTCCACACCATGTCTGGAGTGCTGGGGCAAGATGGGGGAGCCACCAGTTCCTCAGGTGGGACATGCTTAGGACGAAGCAAGAAGAAATGACCTTGAAAAGCAGCGTTTGCAACTGCTGTTCTCTGGATTTCCCTGGAGCACATTATACACGGTTGTTCTTCCATAGAGAGCATGTATGTGTGCTGCAGAAGCACATTCAAGGCAGTAGCATACTGACAGCATCCTCCGTGCCAAACAGTTACTGGGTCTTGGTCACAGAACAGCAGTATGACAAATGAGAACCCTGCTGTGCCATAACTTACATGGAGGCAGCTTTGCCAAGGGAAGGCGACAGCAGAGGTCAAGAGCTCTTTGACTCAACACTCAAAAGAGTTCCGGAGGTCCATAGAGAGGATTGGATCCTCCTTGGAAAGATCTAGGTACGGGGGCGAGATGAGGGGCAACTGGGCCCCCTCAGCACCTTCTCAGAGGGGGCATTGAACTGGAGAGGGAAAGGGAGCTTCTTCAAACCCCATCTTGCTCAGCCAGTCCTACCTTCTTGGGGCAGCCCTGTCCTCTGGCTTCCTCTGTCAGGCAGCTACAGCAATACTACCCCTAGTGCCAGGTGCCTTCTTTCTCCTCCTTTCCTCTCCCCAGTTTTCATGGGTTGATTGGTGTTTCTTTCTCCTCCCACATTTCTCTGTTCCCCAGCATCTTTGTGTTAAAATCTGTGAGGGTTTTTCTTGGGGGCATTTCAAGGTTTGTTTCTGATGGGATTTGAAATGGAATCTGACTTGTGATTCTCTGGTGTGCTGGTGATTAGGTAAGCCTGGTGTGGGTGCGGACGTCATGGTGGAGTGGTGGACACCAGCCAGGAACCTGAGTTAGGAGAGTACTGTATACCTAAGGTCAATGTTTCAGGGGAGAAGGCAGAAAGCAGCCTCTGAAATCAGTCTTCTCCATGATATACAGATTAATAGAGTGGAGAGGCATCATGATAAAAATAAACAACTAGAGAAACTATGGGATAGTGCAGATAGGTATGAGTAGCCTGGAGGGTTTTCAGGTGAGAGATTGTGACTGCATACCATGGATCTTCCCGTAGAAGGCACCTGTCTGTGAAGAGTGGACTCGGTGTCCTTGGTGAACCTTCTCTGGTGGTTCACCAAGGCTTGTGAGTCATAGTAGGCTTCATGCCTTACTTATTGAGCCTTACAGAGGACACTGAACAGGGACATGAATCGTGTCCCTGCACATTTTGGGAGGCCGCATGGAAGTGTTGCCAGAATGGACCAGTCATAACAAGGAGTTTGGACTCGGCACCTGTGGACTTGCACAACTGAAATTGTCACCCACAGGTTGGTAAGAGCTGGGGTGACACCAGCCCTCCTCTCTACCAGGTTTGGCTCAAGAATGATACTCTCCCATGCTTGTTGTCCTCTGTATGTAAATAGACTCCAAACACAGGCAGGCTTGATGCTCTTTGAGAAGGGAATATGTCAGTAGCGGTGGTGGGAATGGACCTTGATGCAGGCCAGTGGTATGTAGGCTTTACAGGTTTAGTGGCAGGTGTTAGAAGGACCTCTCAGCATGGCTGAATGTGCTCTCAAAGATGCATACTGCTGGAAAATGCTCTGCAGCGCTGCTGGACCCCTGCCCCTGGCTGGCACTGTGTGACTCAGGGAGTGTCTGCATCACGGCACCGCACACGGAGGTTTGATTTATAGCCCTGGTTTCTAGAGTCTCACCATGGCACAGCAGGAAATATTGGTTCCTGGGGAGAGAGCTTGTGGTGGTGGAGTGAGTGTGTGATGAAGCCGTCCTGGCTGCAAGTTCCAAGGAGCAGCATTAGTCATGACAGCAAGGTCAGTTACGCCAGTGTTTTTCTTTGAAGCACATTAATTGCAGTAGCATGGAGGTGGCAGTGGTGTGGGCAAGGAACGCAGAACTGCACAGTCCCACCGACTCTGGCTGGAAGCACCAGGGTGGGGGTCTCCAGCCTAACACTGCTCTCAGCAGGTCCAGCACTGCAGCTGCAGCAAGTTGTTCAGGGCTGTGTCTGGGTCAGTCACAGCAGTCCCTGTGAATGGAGACCTGCTTTAGTGAACCATGTTAGTGACCCTGCACAGGATTTTATCCCATTTGTTGTTGTCGATCCTGCACTGGGGGGCAGCACAAACTGCACAGAGTGCCCAGATGTGGCCTGACTTGAGGGAACAGTACCTTCCCTTGACCCGCTGGATGCTCTCATGCCGGGCTGGCTGGCGTTCATTGCTGTGATTCCTGGCCAGCTTGGTGTGCATGAGTCTGGATATGCCTCTCACCTGCGGAGCCTTGCATGTAGAGCTGCCCCTTCCAGCCCATTCCAGCCTGCCCTATGCGTGGGGCTGGTCTGTCTTGAGGCAGAACTTCTGCTGAAGTTCTGAAGATACCACTCAACACCTGGCCTGCTGCCTATGGGAAGTGCCATGGTGGATGTAGGCATCAGCTGCTCCTTTCTTCATACAAGATGTTCACTATGTTAGCTGAATTTTGCATAAAGTGAAGCACCTAGATTGTTGTTCTTTTGCCTCTCAATATCAGATCTCCATACAAGCCCAACAGAGTGTGCAGTTTCACGTACAAGTGGGAGACTGCTGTGATTTTTGTCTTTGCATGTCCTACTTCAGCTCGTGGAAGCGTTGGCGGCCCATTCGGTGGTATGAAGAGAGATGTGGTACCTAACTCCACGATTAGTCAAACTCTTGTATTTCTCTTTGGCATGAAAAAAAAGTATTTGAATGCACAGTGGGGCTAATGCTACTTTGTGCAGCTTTTTATGAAGATTATAAAAGGGAGGCAATAAGCAGATCTTACTGTAAATAGAAGATAGTAGAGTTAATCATAGGGAGGAATGTATTCATATTTGCTCTGAATTTTTCTAACCTACTTTGAAATACCTTCAGCTGAAGTAGCTGAACTTCACTATGAACCCTTTGTTTGCTGAATTGTAGAGTTTTCTTCATCCATTTGAATTGCAACATAGCAGTTGCAGGGCTATTTTCCCTAGAGATTCAAGAGTCCTTGTGTTTGTTTTGTTGATATGTGAAGTCAGTTGGAGTTTTGCAGAGTTGTACAATCATTTACTTGATGTGCTAGAGGCACCCCAAACCTCTTATTACCATTTATTCACCCTTTGAGAAAAGATTTGGAAAAAAGTCACCAGTCATCAAAGTTTCAAGTCAGAGGCAACGAGCAGAGAACTGGGAGATAAACCACCAACAGATGGGGGAGAGTTGCATGTGAAGAATGTGCTCTGCATAATGCGCCGTTAAAACTTCATGAAGAGGTATGCAAGAAAAAATATTACAAAGCACTGGACTTAATATTAAATTCTTAGTTTTAGCAGTTTGGTCATTTTCAGGAAGGAATAATCAGCTTAGCCACAGCATTCACACATTTAATGTTATGAGAGAAAAGGGATTGCCTGATTTTTCTTTTTTTTTTACCCCCACAGTAATTAATGAAAGTCAAAAGCAGCAACTGGAATGTGTGAGTTACTCCTCGCGCTACGCTCTGGGACTTTTTTATGAAGCCGGTACACAGATTGATCTCCCCTGGGCTGCACAGTACATCACCGATAATCCCTGCGTACGCTTCATCTCCATCGATAATAAGAAACGCAATATAGGTCAGTGCTCCCATTATTTCCCTTAAATACCGTGACAATAGAGGGTGTAGATCATGAAAAATGCTGTTTAATTGACTGTTGCTATTCTGAACAGATGAAGTATTTAACTCCAAGCCGCAGCGGACAGCATTTAATGTCACATTTGGCCTGTAATAAAATACACAATGAAAGTGGGAAGGTCCTCAGAAAATCACCACCCAGCACATGGTTTACGTTACTGCATTTATGAAACCAGTGTCAGGGGATATGAAACATCAAAATGTTTCTATTCCAAGAAAGGGCTGGAGTTCCTTTGTTTAAACATTGATTCATACACATGCCAATTTATCTCCCATCATCCATTACTTTACAACTCGTTTTCACTAAGCATGCTTGGAAATAGTAATGAGTTATATAATTGAGGCTGTTCAGTCTAATTTAGAGTTAGCCAGTGTGCTTTTATAATCACGGAAAATCCTTGAAATGGCTGCACATAGTACGACTGCTCAGTAAAGCGTGGAGAACATCCCACAAGGCAGACACTTCTCATCTATTTCTGGAAGATGGCAGTCGAGTAAGTATATGTTTTATCTATTAAATGTATTTCATGTACCAAGAGTGTGTTGGCATAGAATAGCTCAAGAATAACCACTAGCTTTTGAGTTTAATCAAGTTTGTTTGGAGCTGAAAATGCTTCCTGATTGCATTACTTGCTCACATTGCAACAATTTAACCACTTCCATGAAGTGGGGGTGAAAACCTGCCCACCTTTGTGGTGACCTTCAACGCACTGTGACTCACTGTCATGGAATAAGGATGGATTTTTATAATCAGCTGCTGCATAATACATAATTATTAAGTAGTACTAAATTCACTGCACTAAAGCGTGTTCAGATTTAGACCTGGGAGTCTTCTGTTCCCAGTCTTCGTTGTTCGGTTGGGATTCATTGTTTCCTGCCTGCAGTCTGCAGACATCAGTGATGTTAGTACCTTCTGGGCAGGGCATTGAAACCTTGCCCTTGTATCTACATGCCATCACCATGCTAGAATACAGCCATAAGGTTGGGCATACCTTCCCTCTCTTACACTGTAAACATGCAATTTAATGTAATAAACTATCATGAGGGAGTGTCACAGTGTAATGGCAGTGTTGGTGACCAGGACCTCTGAAGACCTCTGCTCCACCTCCCACTCCCAGCAGGCTGTGCTAACATAAGATCGGGGCAAATGTGCCTTGTCTAGCTGAGGTTTTTAAAAAAAAAAAACAGGATGGAGATCCCCCACATTGCTGGTGACCTGCCCAGGGCTGCACCTCCATTGGGGTCAGAAGCAGTCATCTGCAGTCTGAACTTCCCAAGACTCAGCCTGTGGATGTTGCCACCTGTTCCATTGTGTGCCTCTACCAATTAGAGTCACAATCATTCAGGTTGGATGGGACCACTGGAGGTCATATGGTCCTACCCCACGTGAGGTTTGAAGTTAGATCCAGCTACAAAGTTAGAGCGTGTTGCTCGAGGCCCTGATGTGATGTGGTTTGCCATCTTTGTACTTTTGGCTTACATTCAATGGTGGCTCCACCATAACCAGCAGGATCTTCTCAGAAAGGTCTGTTGCTCAGCCAGACTTATGCACGGGTTTGTCCTGTGTCAGACACAGGACCTTGCACTGCTCCTTGTTGTGGTGATAGTGCAGTTCAAGTCAGGTCTTCCAAGTATGCCCTTCTTTGCATCAAAGCCAGCTGGTTAGCAATGGCTCTTGAAATGCCTCCAGAAACAGCAGTTTATGCTGGGAGCAAAGGAGTTGGAGAGATGAATCAACTCACCACTGTGGAAGCTCAGTTTTGTTATTTCTCCTAAGAATTTAGCCTGTTGGTCTGAAAAGAGGGAAAATAAAGAAAAGAATGGCTAAACTGGCCAAAACAAAGATGCATCCACCCTGATATGCTTTCCTCCAGCAAGGACCAGTAGTGAATACGTGAAAAAAAAGTGTAAGGAAAGCCAAATACAGAGTGATTTTTTTTTTCACTGGCATTGTCTCCTTGTTGCTGACAATGTGCAGCTGGAGATTTTCTTGCATGTGAGATTATATTGCCATTGTTATGTTTCGCACATAATACTTGATAGTTGATAGCACCTACCAGTGTTGTCCATCCCAGCTGCCTGATTCTAGCTGTGCAGAAGAGGACACCGCCCGAGGGAGAAGTTCACCCATCCTTTCCTCACCTGTTTGCATATGTGGTCTGCAAGTGCCAGCACTGAGAACAGCAAATATGGAATTATAATGGAATTATCAAATAACTAAGTACAGTGTCTTTGCTGTCACCAAATGCAATTTAACCAAATAGAAAGCATATTAGCTGGGGCGTATTGTTAACAAATACATAGAAGCTACTAGAACATAAATGTTGAGCCATACCTTTCTCACTGAAATTTCCCTCATATTGTGGGAGAGATCTCTTTATATGAGCAAATTTTTCCAAGAAGAATAAATTGTATACCTTCATAGGGCTGGAGCAAGCTTGGGGCCAGCAACTGAAGATGATTTCTCTTTGGAAAGGTCATCCTTGTGACATACAAGCAGTCAACCAGCCGCCTTGACTGCTGTGGCTTTCCTGGTGAACTTGCATTTTGCAGATTTGCACTTCGTTCCAGGAAAAGTAGTACTGGGAGGAGAGCAGTACGTGTTAGCTGGAGCAGTTTTTCTGACTGTGAGCACTCGAGCTGAGCACAGGAGGATTGGAAAGCAAGCCTGTATCGTGTTCAATAATGCTGATGTACAGAAGTATAAAAATCAAAAGTGGGTACCAAGTGTTTCACTTTTCTTCAAACATATGCACAGCTCTGCTGATAATAGAGACACACGCACATATGTGCTTTTAAGACAACATGGGCAAGGGGGGCTGAATGTGAAATTTATTTACACATATGGAGTACTTCATCCAAAACACTTCAATGTAAAGTTCCTTTGTGTTTGTTTCAGCACATATGCAAGTATTTTGCATTTGTATTTTTCTTTCCGTGCTTCTGACTGACCCCAAGAACATTTCAATGGGAGGCACAGCAGCACCTCTCTGTCCCTTATTAACTATTTTTTTGGGGTGATGTTGCTGATGTTTTCACACCATGCTCCACTCACTCTTTGTTATTCCCATTCTTCCATTCTTCAACCTTGATTGATCATGATTCATCTGAAGAAGATGATGGTGACAATGAAGAAGTAAGCATTCAGAGAGACGAAGCAGAAATGCTTGGGCGAAGATTTATGTTGGGTCTCCTGGGTGAAGCAGCTTAGATCTTTCAGGAGAGTCATCCTTCCTAAAAAGCCATCACCTTCTCTAGTTGATGCCTGAATGGTCCCAGTTCCACCGTTCCTCCTCTGTGCCAGATACACTGTCCCCATGTATTCAGTTTTGTGTTATTTCTCAAGTGCCTGCATGCATCCCTCTCTCCATTGCATTGATCTTGAGGGAAAATTGCTTTGCTGCCCATCAGATGTGGCTGCACTGCTTATCAGGAGTACATCCTCAACAGATAGAGGAGCGTGGCTGCAGTTCTTAAGGCAGAAGTAAAAGAGACTGATGGATCAGACATAAACAGAAATTTGATTTTTCTGGTGTTTCTACACCTACTTTGATGTACCCACAATTAATGGAGGTGTATCTAACCCTTGTTACCAGCTCAGATGGTAATGTTATAGTAAACAGCATTGAACTATAGAGATCCAAAGGAAATAACTCTAGCTTTCTGCTGAGAGACTCTTTGTTAAACATGTCACTCTAGAAAAAACGGACTGCTCGCGCCTTGCTGTGTTGTGATGAGCTGCAGTGCCCTGAATTGCTGCTTGCTGCATGGCACTTGCAAACTCATAAAGCCTCTTCTTGCTAGGAGATATGACAGCATCCTCTCTCCTGTTGTTTTCTCCTTAATTCCTTTATGCAGACTGCTCAAGGGTTGCTGGTTCTTCATACTATTTTAGTATAATGATATTCTTTAAGTTGAAGTTTGCATTCAACATAATTCTCAGCAGCATATTCCCTGGACTTCCTCAATGGAGAACAAGCCAGGTGACCATACCAATCTTTCTGACAGTCCAGGTACGTGAGACAGAACAGCATGACTTCTCAGAGTTTTGTCTTTGTTTACACTGCTAGAAAGGAATACAGTCTGCTTTGATGGACTAACGCTCGCTGTGATGAGCAGAAGGTAGTGAGCCTGACTCGTGCACAGCTGAGCCTGCCAGGGAAGGCAGCGGCACCTAGGGAGTCGCTGGCAGCTCTTCCCCGCGGCTCAATGTGCTACCATTAGTTGGCTTCATTATGACACAGCCTATTTCCTTAACAATAACTACAGATGACGTGTTTTTTTCCCGACTTATGTGGAAGAATCAATAATAAAGCTGTTTCTCTGATACTGCTGTTACCAATGTAATCTGGAGTGTTATGAGCCTCCAGGAAGAAAGGCTTTTTGCATCAGCTGAGGATCTCAACTGCTGTTCATAAAATTGCATCTCTGTCTGGAAAGCTAACGCACTCGAAGATTACACAAGGAAGAGCCTACAAGAAGTGTATGTTGAATTACCTGTGCGATATGTATGTATATTAGATATTTGTGTGATTGACTGCCTTATACACTGTAACTGGTCAGGGGCACGGTGGAAATTCTTCAGTATAAATTATTTCAAGCCTCATTTCTGTAATACCGCAGTCTTTGCATCTCTTTGCATTCTGGAGGACTACAGATAGATGACACATAAAATGGAAGCAGTTCACTTTCACTTCAGGGTTGCGAGGTTATATAATTTGAAGGGAAGATTTGTCTTACAGGTTTTCAGGATCAGTGTATTTCTTGAGTATCTTTTTTAATTTTAAGATACAGATTCCTTTATCTTCTCATTACTGAAAGAAGATTTTTTAGGAAGATGGAAGAGTTAAAGAGTTCTTTAGGTTTTCGCCTCATTACGTGGCAAATTGCTTTGTAATCCCGTGCCTGCCCTGCCTGCCTTTTAGAAAACTAATCAGAAAC